CCCTGCTGCTGCGCGCGGCTGGCCAGCAGCGCGCCGCCGTGCTCGGCCGCAGTCGCAGGGCCGCCTTCGGCCAGGACTTCACCTTCGACGGGCTCGCGGAGGAGCAGCTGCGCCGCCTGGCCGTCCGCGTCAAGGCCAAGAGCAAGGGCCGCGGCCTGGAGCGGGGGCGTCCGCTGGGCCAGGGCGAGCTGCTGCTGGGCTCGCTGCTGCCGCTCTGAGCCCCGCAGCCCTGGGACCCCGACACTGGGCCTCTGGGCTCTTGGGCCCCATGGCCACTTGACCCTGGGACACTGGCAGCCTCTTAGCCTAGGGACGTTGACAACCCCTTGGCCCTGGACACTCAGCCTCTTGTCCTTGACAATCGCTTGGTCCTGGGACACTCACTGACAGCCATTTGTACAAAATAAACGTATTCATTTTTCTAATCAGGGCCTTGTTTCAATACTGGCAGAGAAGATTCTGGATTATCACGTTAAAGGATGTGTGTGTGTGTGTGTGTGCGCGCGCGCATGTGAAAATACCCTGAAATTTCTGTTGGGTCAAGGGGAAGGAATTTCCCTACTACAGGTAGCAATTATCCCATAAGCAGCACACACTGGAATTAGGAAATAATGTTATGTAGTGTTGGATTAGTTCTATTTTAATGTTTATTCGGTCCACAACATTCATTGAGACAGAGCATCAGTTAGTTATTCATGAAGCATTAAGCTATTAGGTAAGAAAAGAAGGTCAGGGCCTAGACAGATGGCTGAGCAGATAGAGCTACTTGCTGCCAACCATAACAATGTGAGTTGGATCTCCAGGATCCACATGAATGGAAGGTAAGAAATGAAAGTTGTCCTCTGACTTCCACATGCCTGTCTTGCCTCAACCTTATAGCAGATTTTTTTTTTTTTAGAAAAGATGACCAGAAAGAAATAACTTGTCCAAGTTCAACAGTGAATTATTACTAGGAAGTCCACTCATATTCAAAGCTACATCTTGCTAGGAAAGAAAACAAAATACTTTTAATATTTAAGTAAAAGGTATGCCAGTTTTACAAGTTTTAACATACTTAATTTGGAAAACAACCTTAAATAATGGGCACTACTATCCCTATTTTGCAGTCAGAATAAATACCAGTCAGGATTTAACCCAGGCCATCAGTATTTCACTTATTAAAATGCTCACCTCAGGCTGGGGATGCAGCCCAGTTGGTAGAGTGCCTGGCATGCACAAAGCCCTGGATTCCACCCCCATCTCTGCACAAACCAGTCATGGTTGCACACGCCCGTTATCTCAGCACTTGAACATAGAGGCAGGTAAATCAGAAATTCAAGGCCATCCTCAGCTTTACAGGGAATTCAAGGTCAGCCTGGGCAACAAGAGACCCTCCCTGAAATCAATCAATAATAGGTGTTTATTTTCTTAAAGTGATGAGATTTTGCAACTTGTCTGAATTATCACTGAGTTTGGAAGCACATTCCTCACTTTGTTCTGTCTGGGAAAGCAGATGGGTTGAAATGAGTGGTGTGTGAACTCATGCACATGGTATCAGCCTGACACTGAGGAGAAAGCTAATCCAACTCAAATCCCCACTATTACTACTTCAAGCAAACTAACTTTCCAGGGCCTGCAGTCTGGAGAGTAGGGGAGAATGGCCTTCTACCTCTGGCTTCAGATAAGGATAGGGTTGCTATGCTTTAGAGGTTGATTTTCCTTCATCCCAAATACTCACTGCCAGCCTGGCTTATTTCTTTTCTTGTTCATGTCAGTGGTAAGTGTGTCCTAAGTGAGAGTAAAGACATTAAAATATGCAGTGTGAGGTGAGCGGTTGCTGCATTATCAGACTGAACTCAGAAATGCTTTGTTTAGACTGGACTTGGTGGTTTTAACCTGGGCACTCATGAAGAATGCTACTTAGAAAGGGTTCCATTTCTGTCACACCTGGAACATCAATTGAATACAGGTTATCATGGTCTGGGTTTACAATGATGACCATTGTAAATTTATCAACTCTGTCTAAATCACCTGTGTCCAGAAACTCCTGGGAGTTGCCCAAATGTGTGGTGGTGTAACAGCAGTTCAAGGCTAACCTGTGCCCTTTGTAGTTCCTTAACTTTCAAGCCAGTTATTTAAAAAAACAAAAAAATTAAAAAAAACTTTATTGGGTTGGTATTTAGCTCAATGGTAGAGCGCTTGCCTAGCAAGCACAAGGCCCTGCGTTCTATCCTCAGCTCCGGAAAAAAAAAAAAAAAAAAAAAAAAAACTTTATTGAGAATTTCATACTAGCATATAAGTATAAGGTGTTTTGATCAAATCCACACCCACTCCCCTCCAACTCCTCCCATATTTCCCCATCACTTTTTTCTGACAACTTTGTGTTCATTCTTTTCTTTATTTCTTTCTTTTTTAAATGGGGCTTTTTGCTACTCTAACATTCCTCCCTCTGAAGAGGTAACCCTAAAATCTTTTAGGGATTAGATAAGAGTTCCCAAATGCTTTTGACATTTTTGGCCTTTGGAACAGAGTATGTTGCTAAGAGGCCCAAGGCCATTTTGATTTTTTAGCCAATAAACTGGCTACTTTTCTTTGAAGTCTTTGTACCCTAACTGCCTAGCCAATTCCTACCTCCTATTCTTATCACACCATCCTCTGAAGAGGTTACCCAAATTGCCAATAAAGAATTGGGACACAGACCACTCTGACTTCTTCCACGTTGAACACAGGGTAAGGCAATTGGAGTACCCCATCAGTGGGTCTATCTAAAAGACTCCCAAAGTGCATAATTCTTATCTGTAGGGGGAAAAGAAGGTCCTTGACTGGTGAATAGGGGATATGAAGAAGTAAAGGCAAGAGTAGTTAGCATTACAAGTTCTAGACAGGGAACCAGAAAAAAGTCATAACAGGGCAAATTTCAAATATTCATATTAGAGTCCATTGGGATTTCTTGATGAAAGCTTCCAAAAGCATCCCTCTATTGGGTTCCTCCTCATTTTTCTTTTGTCTGTCAAGGCTGGACTTGAGAGTGATGGACTCTGGATTTGTTTTCAAGCACTTTGATAGGTGTTGGAATGGCTAGAATCAGTGTCAGTTCCCTCTCAATGGCTTCTAGATAGGGAGAGAAAAAAATTTAGCCATAATTTTAGAACAATAATGAGTTACCTCCCTTAGCTACAGGTGGGCACTACAGTATTACAGATCAAGATCTGAAGTCTTACATCTGAGCAGCACTTTCTACTTAGAAACAAAATCGTCACTGAGAAATAATTTTCTAAATAACTTTTTATGTAGACTTAAGCATAATGTCTGGGAAGTGTAATCCCTTGAACTCTTAAGGAAATATACTGATCACTTTAATCTTTGGTTATACATTCCTTTTGAGTGTTTAAGACGATATAGTTGGCCCAAATAAACCAACTGGTTTTTACTCTTCAGATCCTTGTAGGATCTGTTCCTTAGGGGGTTGGTCACATGTGCTTGGGAGGATCCCCTTGCTCTTTTACCAGTTCCATCTATGCAAAGACAAGTCAAAGGTCATGCTCAACTGTGGCTGGCTACACTTGGAAGCATGGAGGAAATGTTTCCTCTGAGTTGACCCTACTCTTTGTAGACTGGATAAGGGTTCAAGTCCATCTGGTGGGGTCTCTATGGCCTCCCTGAACATGAGGACAGGTGACTTACCACAGGACATTTTGAGAGATGCTCGATAGTTCCCCTGGAACTTAGTCGACCTTGAAGGGCAAGGAGCAAAATCTGTCCTTTAAGTCCCTCTGACCAGATTGGTATAGGCCTCAATGTATGGCTATTAAACATCCAAGGTTCATTCCACCAGCCTGGTACTTTTAATTACCATGTGCTATGTAGATAAAGCTTGGCAAAAAACAAACATTCTCAGATAAATCTTGATAGACATATATTTTTTTCCTTAAACTAGTTGACTAAACTATGACCTTAGAAATTTTAAGGTTATTGTGTATATTATTTTTGTCTCATCCTTTATATATCATAGCAAACCTACACAGACCCTCATCACTTGCTTAGGCATTCTCATGTTTTCTGTCTATTTTGGAAATCAAGCCAGTTATTTTAAATGTAAAACACTTCAAGGGAAAATAGAAAAGTAAAAAAAAAATTAGCTGTGTAAAATATTATTGGGACTTTCTGTTTTATTTGTTTTAAAATAAGAATACATTGCATTGGTATTTGAGATTGTGAGCTCTTATTCCAGAAAAATGCTGTGATCCCTATTCTCACTGGGTTATATGCATATCACTTTGTTAAGTAAATTTTTTCCAAGAAGGTGAATTAACACATTTCAGGGTCCTAATTTGCCAAGAAATCATTGTGGGTACATCCAAACCAAAATCTGGTGGCTCAAAGAGCCTAAGAGTCCAATCAAAAAGATTGCCAAAAGACTGAAATAGAATAAAACTATGGAATTTTAGAGTTTGAGAACTTTGCTTCATTTTGTGCAAATCTGTATATGTCTTAGGAGTGGACCAGAATGTCAAATTTTAGATTGCTCCTATCACATGATTAGTAGAAGAGCTGAAACCAGAACTGGTTCTATCCCACTAATTCCAAGAAAAGAGAGCTGTTTGTGCATACATTCATTTCACAGCATTGAATTAATTTAAACTGTTTACACTTAAGAAATCATATTTGCAATATATATATATATATATATTGTTTTGCAACAAAACCACCTTTTCAGGGGCAAAGTTAAGTTTGATTTACACTGCTGCCTTCTGGTGGATCCCGCAGGAGCTTCTCCTTCACCTTCATAAGACCATCTCAGTGGAGTAAAACTCTTGTGAAAATCAGATGTTCTTTTTCTTTTTCTCTTCTTTTTTTCTTGTTGTTGTTGTTTTGTTTTTTGCTTGTTTTGTTTTTGTTTTGGAGAAGGGTCTCCTATAATCCTGGCTGGCCAGCTCAAACTAGCTAGGTAACCAAGGGTGACACTGAATTCCTGATTCTCTCAAGTGCTGGATTTCAGGCATTTGTACCACATCTGGCTCACCTGAAGTTCTTGAACTTGTTTGCTAATATTAGATTGTAGTGAAGATTCACATAGCAAAATAGCTAAATATAGATGAGAGATTTTAAAAAAGAAAAAAGGCAGGGCTTGGTGGTGCAAATTTGTAATCTCAGCACCCATGTGGTAGCTAATAAAGTCCCAAGGCATCCAATGCCCTCTTCTGACCTCCATGGGCACTGCATGTCACAGGTGCAAATACATACATGCAGGCAATACACTCATACACATAAAATAAAAATAATGACTCGATAGACCTTAATATTCATGACAGAATGCATGAAATCCAGTGAGAGGGGCTTTAGGAGGGTGTGGATGGGGGTGTAAAGATGATTAAGATGTTTTGTAAGAATTGTATGAAAATTCAATAAATCTATGTACAT